GGACGGGCGGTTACCGCGGGGATAGCCCTTCAGCCCCGGCCGGGGGTTTGAGCCGGCCCCCGGCCCCCCGGCGGCCAATCTCCTGCTGGGGGGGGGCCCTTCTATTCGTGATTTTAGTGGCGCGTAGGTCGCCCTTGGGCCACTTTTTCGGGCGTTGCGGCCCCAGCGCGGCGAGAAGGCGGCACGCTCGGGCCCGCTGGGGGAGGTGAAACCCCCCCGAGCGGGGAGCTGGCGGGCCGGGGCGTTCGGGCGGGTACGCGGCGGCACCCGTGCCCCCGGGACGGGCCGTGGTGGCCCGTATGGCGGCCGTGAAGGGCCGTTTGGTGCGCCCCGGCGGCCTCCTGCACGGCGGCCGCCGGGGCCGGTTTGGACTGTGTTGGGGGGGGTGGAGTGGTCCGGTGGCCGGTGTGATGGTCGTTTATCACCCTCCTATCACCCACTTACCGCCCCCGGCCGTGGGGGCCTCTCCAGACGCCGCCATTTATGATTTCAAAGGGTCCTGCCGACGCTCATCACAGTGCGGCGGAGGGGCCGGAGCCGGCGCCGCGGAGGACGAGGATGGCCGTGACGGACCGGGACGAGCTCTGGGAGGTTCAGTGTCAGTGAGTATATTGTAGAGACCACCCATGTGCACAATATCTTGACTGAAAGCTAATTCTGGGGAGGCGATGCCGGGGCCGTACAGCAGCTTGATGGTGCTGCGCCGGCGTGCGTCCCGCCGGCCACCGGGGCCGGTTTGGACTGTGTTTGGGGGGGTGGAGGGGTCCGGTGGCCGGTGTGATGGTCGTTTATGGCCCTCCTATCACCCACTTACCACCCCCGGCCGTGTGGGCCTCACCGGACGCCGCCATTCATGATTTCAAAGGGTCCTGCCGTCGCTCAGTCCGAATCACAGTGGGGAGTGGGGCGGAGCCTACCCTGTTTTTATTTTTCCCAAAATTTAACTTTTTTTGAGCGGACGAGAGGGAGACCACCCCAGCGCCCTCTCTAATATGTAATAAATAACTCAAAGCTAAGGCTAATTAATCTCGACCTCTCGACTACAACCACCCTCCCGATCGCCGAATTCCCAATCCCATGCGATGGGGGTATCTCTGTGCTCCCCGTCAACAGTGTCTGTGCTCTGTGGCAAGTGACAGCGACCACGACGATTCACGAGATAGAGACAACGACACAGCACGCACACATGCAGCTCAATCGAATGCATCGATCACGTACAACGGGGCCACGCGCGCCGGAGCGTGTAGCGCGCGGCCCACCCGAATATGCGCGGTGCCCGCACCGCGACCTCTCCCTCAGCTCTGCCTCCTCCCCGCGGCACGAGCTGCGGCCTCTCCGCCGCCGCCAACCTGGGCTCTAGACCTCCCTCCCCTCAGGGCGCCGCCGGCGAGGTTGGCGCCGGCGCCGTCCCCGCCGCGTGCGCAAACCGGCAAAGGCCGTTGTGGGGAAGGCCCCGCGCGGTGTTGCGGAGCGTGCAGCCGGGGAAGCAGCAAGGCGCGTAGGCGCCGCCGCGCCGCCGGTGGAGCGCCTCGACCCCCTCGCCGGCGCACCCGCTGCTGGGCTCCTCCCGCGTCCGCTTCCGCCCGCCGAGCCAACGGCTGCGGCGCACTGCCGCCCCCGCCCCCGCCGCCCCCGCCGCCTCCGCCGCCTCCGCCGCCCCCGCCCCCGCCGCCTCCGCCTCCGCCTCCGCCTCCTCCATCTCCTCCTCATCCGCCGCGGCCGAGCCCTCGGAGAGTTGAGGCGACGAGAGAGGCGACGAGAGGAGGGGCTCCCACGCCTCCTCCGGGCCGCTGCCATGCCCCTCCGCCGCCGCCTCCCCGCCATCGCCGCGCTCGCCCGGCGGCTCGACGAAGAGCGTGCTGGCACCCGCGCCGTCGCCCTGCGAGAGGCCCGCCGACGGCCCCTGCAGCAAGCCGGGCTTCTCGCACGGGAGCGCCAAATCGGCCAGGTCAACGGGCGTAGGCGCCCTCGCCAGGTCGACGCAGGGGGCGATGGTCTGCGAGAGGCCCGCCGAATGCCCCTGCGGGCCGGGCTTCTCGCACGGGAGCGCCAGGTCTGCCAGGTCGATTGCTGCCGCGCCGCCGCCGTTCGCCTGTGGGCGGACAAGTGCGGCGGCTGAGGACAGAGGCTGCGGGAGCGTCCGGGGCAGAGGGGCGGTGCAGGGCCGATCGACCACCAGGCTGGAGCTGGGAGGTGTGTGTGGAGGGGGGCTCGTCGCGTCTGGGACGACTGCGTGCGGGGCGGTGGCGGAGGCGGCGGAGAGGAGAGGAGGGGAAGGGGGGAGAGGGCGTGGGGCAGCGAGCGAGGCGCGGGAGGGTGGGGGCTGCACCCCGTGCACCAGGTCGCCGTGCAGGTCGTTGACCAGGCCGGAGAGGGAGTCGTGCCAAGGCCAGCCGCAGCTCTCCTCCCCGGCCGCCAACGCCTGCAGCGGCATGTCCAGCGGCGCCAGCGCCTGGCGGAAGGCGCCCTCCTCCCACGCTCCCTCGTCGGCCACCGCCGCCCCGGCCACCGCCGCCCCGAAGTCCGCCTCGCAGTCCTCATCTGCGAGCGCCTCGGCCAGCGGCGGCGGCGGCAGCGGCGAGGAGGGCGGCGACACGGACGGCTCGGCGGCCGACGGCGGCGATCCCTTGCCTCCCGCCTTGCCTCCCGCCTTGGCGGCGCCCTTGCTCCTCCGCCTGCCGCCCTCCTTGCCGCCCTCCTTGCCGCCCTCCTCCCCTCCGCTCGACCAGTCCTTGAAGGCCGCGAGCATCGCAAAGTTGCTCCCCTCTGGCGAGCGCGCATAGCAGAGCGCCGCCTCCTCGGCGGTGGCAAAGCGGCCGAGCGTGACGCGGCGGCCGTTGCGGCGCACCTGCGGCGGCGCGGGGAGGGCGGCGGCCGGTGAGGCCACGGCCTCCTACGGCCCTGCGAGCCCGGCGGCGGCGCCTCCAGATATGAGGGTGGCTGTGGCTATGAGGGTGGCGGTGGCGAGGACCGAGGTGGCGGCGAGGTGGCGGCGGGCCGGCCAGAGTTGGGGGGTAGCTGGCTGGCGGAGGCGGAGGCGGGGGACGGCAGCGGCGGAGAGGGCGAGCCGCGGGCCGGGCGAAGGGCGGCAGCGGGCCGGCGGGCCGAGGGAGGGAGAGGCACCTGGGCACGAAACGGGTTCTTGAGGCCGACGGTGGTCGACGAGTCTTGCAGCACCTGCAGAGGCGGCGAGGGAGGGCGGAGGCGAGTGAGTGCGGCCGTCCGTGCGCGCCCGCGCGCCACCCTCGTCTCTCGTTGGCACGCGCGGCGAGCACACAGAGGGGGAGGGCTCACCCCTCGGTAGCCGCTCGTGCTCGACGTGCTCCTCAGCAGCGTCAGGCCCTCCTCGGCAGCCCCACGCAGGGCCGCCGCCGCGAGGTTGTCGAGCTCGACCGTTGAGTAGGCCGACTTGGCGGCGCTTCGCGGCATGATCACGCCAAATCTCAGCGGCCGAGGGGTGTAGATGCTGACAGGGGTTTGATGCCTTCTCTGTGTCAGACGCCGCTGGGTTCGGCGGGCAAGTCCAACAAGGGAGTGATTTCGGAGATTAGGAGCGGCGTCTGCAGCGGCGGAGCCGCAAAAGGCTCTCGAAAGCTTAAAGGGATCCTTCAAGGGTGTATGTGCTTGTTGTGAGAGATCGCTTGATGAAGGGAGCCAGCGAGGTAGTTGATGACCGAGGGAGGCTGGAACTGTGGGCGTTGGGTGTTGATTTTGAGGATTACAACTCTCAAAAGCGGCAGCGTTGACCGCACAGCCTACTCGCCCAAGTACTCGCTCTCTTTTATGTCCCACCATGCAGAGCGCATCTCTCTCTCTGTTGTGCGAGGCGTGAACCGCGCCATTCGCTCTCACCTGGCAACCCTGTCTGCACGTCTCGCGCGCGCATGAACAGGGCTCCAGGCCCCAAATGATGTGTGAGTGTTAGAGTTGTTTGGTATTGCTAAAAATCTCTCAACTCTCTCTAACAAACAAACACAAATGATGAGAGAGATTTTAGAAAACCAACAAGAAATCACGACTCGCACAGACACAGTGATAGCAACAGCGTGATTTGGGCTCGGCAGCTTGTTAGCCCTCAGCCGAAGCTGGGGCCGGTCCCGTAGCCGAGAGAGCCCGCGCCGTGAGTTCGACGCGGTCGGGAGGCCTTGCGGAGAGGCCAGCGAGGTGGCGATCGCTGTACTTCATGGTGCCCTCGGTGGGGCGGCTGACAAGCCAGAGGTCGATACTCTGGACGACCCATAGGATGCCACGAATGCCTGAAGGAGAGGGAGGCGAGGCCAGAGGCAGGCTCAGCTGCTCTCGGGTGATCTCGCTTTGGTGGCTGAAGGATCCGCTGGTCCTGTCACATTCGCGTTCCGAGTCGTGGGGGTAGAAGAATTCGAGGTAGAATCGAGTCAGCACTTCCTTGTAGTACAGCGGACCGCCAGGCTCGCCGGCAGCATCCGCAGGGAGGCAGCATATGAGGCACCAGTCTTCTGGAGAGCTCAACAGCTGCGGCCGCGATGGCGGAGTCGGCCGCGGTTCGAGCGAGCAGCTTTTGGCTGCGGGATCGAATCGCGGAAGGCTCATGCCCTCGCGGAGCGACGCGGGTCGCGCGGCGCGCGCGTGTGCGAAATGCGACAAAAGACGAAAGACGACAGGCGCCTGAGCGCTGTACGCCTGAACTTTTGTCGCCGCAATCGCCACCGCCGCCATCTTGACGAGCAGCGCGAGCGCGCTCGTCGGCGGCCAGCCGTCGCGGGCCGGGCCGAGCCCGGCCTCAACCGGCCGCGCCGCCGCAGCAGGCCGGGAGGCCCGAATGGCGGCCGACCAGCTGATAAGGAGCTTTCTCAATGTCTGATGAGTGCCGATAGGCGAGAGGCCGACGGAGCCGAGACTGAGCGCGAAGCGTGTCTCGCCAGTTGGGGGGCGCCCGGCGGCCGTGGCGCGTGGCGCGATGGTCCTCGGCCATGCGGACGAGCTGAGTATGCTCCTTTTTTGCTAGCTACGAAACCCGGAACAGTAGCGCATGTACTTGTACTTGTCCTGTGTTGGGTTGGGTTAGAGAAATAGGAGGAGCGTGTCGGGTCGTGTTCGTGTCCTATGTTCGAATCTCCACTCGATCGCACGGCAAGCTTCGAGAGCCTCGAGTCTGAGGCTGAGCTCTCCCAGCAGCCCCAAGCTCCTCTCCTCAGTCGCGTAAATACTGCTGGATGCGGTCGTGCTGGATACGATCCAGCCGCCGCTTCCGCCTCCGCACCACCGACAGCGACGCGCCAAGCAAGCACACCATTAGAAACTCGAAGCGGGCGAGGCCATGCAGGTCGGACTCGCGCTGGAGGCAGCTGTGGTAGGCGAGGAACGGGCCTCTCGCCTCGCGCCCCGAGTCGGTGCTGTTGTCGCTTATGCAGCGCACCTCCTGCCGGTAGCCGCTCACGCTGCAGTACTGCTCCGTGCTCTCGTCGGCGGTGCAGGGCAGGCAGCCGTCGAGGGGCGAGGTCGGCTCGCAGGAAAGCTCATCAAACGCGCGCCGGCCGCTGTCGTGCTCCAGCGTCCACTGGCTCTCCTCCTCGCCCAGCAGAGAGCTGCCCGCCGCGCGCTCCTCGTAGTGGTGCTCGTCGGCGTGGCGGTCGGCGGCTGCGTGGTGCCGGGGGCGGGCGCCGCCGCCCGCAGCCTCGGCCACCGCGGTGGCCATGTACGGCAAGCTCATCTCGGAGTGCGGGGCTGCTGCCGGCGCCAGCGCCAGCGCCAGCGCCGCCGCCGGATAGGTTAGAGCAAAAGAAAAAATCGCCCGATCGAAACACTGCCCTAATCCCACCAGGGGTTGTCTTATTTATTTATTGGTCCAAACACTAAAAAAAAAGTGAGCACACAAGATCATTATGTTTTCCAACTTGAAAAACCTCCGAGAAACCCTTCGGGTCGCTCCTCATCGCAAACCCTGTCAGCAGAGTCCTCCTACGGGAACGTAGAGCGACATACGGAAAGAGAGAGAACGGAGGTCCTGTCTTGTGGCGTCGGCTCAGGCAACGGATCACACACAGGCGCGTCGCAAAGATGCTGCGAGCTACGAGGCTCGCAGCTGTCGCCGGCGGCGGCGCCGCCGCCTGCAGCGCGCTCGCTCTCTCCCAACGCGACGACCACGCGCAGGCCAGGCTCGCGAGCACCGAGCGGCTGCTGCACCAGCCGCCGCGCAAGCGCATCGCGATCTACGGCGGCTCGTTCAACCCGATCACGAACGCGCACCTCAACGTGGCGGCTGAGATCATGCACTCGAAGCTCGCCGACGAGGTCTGGATCACGCCATGCGGCGTCCGGCCCGACAAGCCCAGCCTCAAGACGTCGATGATCCACCGGCTGGTCATGTGCCACCTCGCCGTCGACACGACGTTCGGCTCGCGCTTCGGCGTCAAGGTGTGCGACTGCGAGGCGGACAAGCCGCGCGCGATGCCCTCCGTCGTGCTCATGCGTCAGCTCGCGGAGAAGTACCCCGAGGCCGACTTTGTCTTTGCTTGCGGCTCGGACCAGATCAGCGAGGCACCGCCGCCACGCCGCCGCCGCACCGCCTCGCCGCCGCCCCACCGCCGCGGCCGCCACGCCCCGCGCGCCACGGGACACTCGTGAGACACTCGCGAGACACGTCGGGTCTCCCTCGCCACGGCCGCACCGCCACAACCTTCTCTTTCGCCGCTGGGCCACACCCCACCCCACACCACCCCAGCCAACGCCACGGCGCCACCACTCTTGGCGAATCGGGCTCCTCTTGATTGCCGGGTTCTGAGTGGCGGTGTGTTGCCCCGGTGGTTTGCACAGGTGCGCTCATGGCCCGCGGAGGCCGAGCCAGGCTTCTGGGACGCGGTGGGTGACCCGGGCGAGACCTTCTTCAACGAGACGCACTTCTTGCTCATCGACCGACCGGGCGCTTCGATCGACGGCCTCGAGATGCCCCCAAACACGCAGTTCGTGGCGGATGCGCTCAAGGCGCGCGGCAGCCGGCAGACACCGGACACCGGACCCCGCGCTTCGCCCCCGCGCCCGCTGCCCCTCGCCCTCGCTCAGCGCCAATGCCTGCGTGCTGGGCCACCAGACATTCCAAGACATTTCCCTGACATTTCCGAGAGCGGTCCCGCAGGCGCGCGGCTCGACGATGATCGAGACCGAGCTCTCCTCGACGGAGGTCCGCAAGCGGGTGACGCCGCCCGACGACGAGGTGAGCGCACAACGCCTCGCGCCGCCCCCTCGCCGCCCTCGCACCAGCGCCGCCGCTCGCACCCTCGTACCGCCACCACCGCCACCACCAGGTGCGCTTTGGGCTGCGCAACGCCGAGTCGAGCCGCGAGCGCGCGTGGTACGACCCGGCGGAGGGCCGGGTCACTCGCATCTCTGTTGGGTTCGCACACTTGTCTTCTCTATAGGTACGACGAGGCGGAGGGGCTCGTCCCGCCGTCCGTGCTGGGGCACATCGTGCGATACGGCCTCTACGCGCACGGCCACGGGGCGGAGGGGGTCGACGACGAGGCTACTTAGTCCCCGGCCTTCCTTTCCCTTGCTCGCGGCCTTGCGCAGCAGAGTACCGAGCGGCAACTAGTCTGCTCTCCATGCCCCCAGAGCCGTATGGGCGCTGCGGCGGCGCGCGGCGTCCGCGTGCGCACATCGCGAGAGCATTTGCTCTCGCGTCTACGCGCGCTCACACGGGGCCGCCGGCGCCAGCCACACCACGCGGACGCGCGCGCCATGCTCCTACCGTTATAGCTCCTCTTACGTTCCCATTTTTGATATACAGCATACGGTTCTGGCCGAACCCACTTTGTGGGGTGTATGTGTATGTAAGTAAAGCCTGTATCAAAATTCCATTTTGCGAGCGTGACCCGGTGTGAGCCGTGAGCGTGATGCGTGAGAGCGGCGCTGTTCGTGGAGGGGGTTTTTGCTCGGGCTAGTGCCATTTCACTGTGGCACACTAGTTTATCTCGGCTTCTCCACATGAACCAAGCATCAGCACCGTGAGGTGTGATACATTGGCGCGTAAAGGGTCAGTCTGGAGTCGCGTGCCTCCACAACGGAAGAGCTACGCAGTACCTGACATCCCCCGGGGTCTTGCCACTAAAGGCGGAGGGTTGGGACTCAAACAGCTTGGACGAACTGCAGGTCCGGAGGTAACCTCAACGTCCTGCAGCCGGCCGCGGCGCCGTAAGGGTTCGCACCTCAGACCAAGTAGAGAGAGAGGTGGAGCTCACCACACATGGAGCCCTTACCGCCGCGTAAACGACGCGGGAGTCTCCCCTGCATAAAGAGAGGGGGGAGAGGTAAGATGGGCCGACGACAGGACCCATTACGCGAGCAGAGGCTCGAGCTGACTTCGCCGTGAGAGCCACGGTGGATCCCATGATAGCGTGAGAGCTTAGCATGCCACCAAGGAGAGGGTGGGTGGGAACCAAAGAGAGATGGCGCAGCCGGAGGGCTGGCGCCGTCAGAGAGGATGGAGCGGCCACAGAGGTGGCGCGGCATCAGGTCCCATGAGCAGGGAGAGAGCGCAGCGAGAGCGCCGCGCATGAGGAGCAAGGGCCAAGCGCGCTCGCGAAAGTAGGCGGCGAAAGCGCGCGCCAGCTGAAGTGCAAGTTTGGTGTTCACAGCAGCGGAGGCTGAGTGAAGACCGCATGCGATGTGCGCGAGGGCACACGAGAGGGACTCAGGAGAGGTATCCGTGAGTACCCTACGATAAACTAGTGGCCTACCACGAGTTGGGGCCCCCACCCCAATCGTTATCGGCGGACATCGAAAGAAAGGCGCTTGCGGTAGTGATCCAATCATCCGAATACCACGTTCGGATCGCTCCTCATCGCAAACCCTGTACCCTGTCAGCAGTTCACCTATCACTCGGCGGACTAGTTTATCTCGGCTTCTCCACATGAACCAAGCATCAGCACCGTGAGGTGTGATACATTGGCGCGTAAAGGGTCAGTCTGGAGTCGCGTGCCTCCACAACGGAAGAGCTACGCAGTACCTGACATCCCAACGCAGAGTGGAGGGAGCGGGTGCAGACGGACCTCGCATCCCGTGTTCACAGCAGCGGAGGCTGAGTGAAGACCGCATGCGATGTGCGCGAGGGCACACGAGAGGGACTCAGGAGAGGTATCCGTGAGTACCCTACGATAAACTAGTGGCCTACCACGAGTTGGGGCCCCCACCCCAATCGTTATCGGCGGAGCTCGCGTTACAAAACCTTGATTTGACCATTTGCGCCATTTTGTCCCTCTCGGTGCCTTCCAGAGGCAGCTGCGACCCCGCCAAGTGGACGGGGGCACTCGGCAGGTGGCGCGGAGTGCCCCCGTCCACTCGGCGGGGTCGTATAGCATTCAGGTGCCGCAGCGCCTC